GGAATGGAGGATAAAGTAGATAAAAGAATCGATCATTAGTGCCCTCTCTTGGCATTTTTAGACAAATATTTTTTATCGCTTCCAAAATAATGGCTAATTTTTATCCCACTTTACCCCTTGTTTCTGGATTAGTATTTGTGATCTCAATAAATGCATCTCGTGTCTATTCCGTATTTTATCTGTTAGGAATTAATTATTATTTGTCATCTTTGTGTCAATGAAGTTTTCGAAGATTTGATAATGAAGTAGATTGAGAATTGAAAATCTGCTTTATCTTTTGAACGAAGAATTGATTTTTCTTAGAAATATTGGCGCTCACATTCAATTCTTTTGCTAGTTTATCGTTTTTGGAGAGATGTATTTTATGCTCGAGAGATGGCGACAGTGATCGGTTTTAGCTCTTCTCTACTTTGTCGTAATAGTTGCTCTTCTTGTCTATATGTGTTTCATCGCGTAACGCGAAGATGGCGCTCCTCAATTTTCAGTTCCTCAATTTTCAGTTCTTAAATTTTTACTCTACTTCTATTTTTCTTCCTCAACAAACGACGTTAGTTTCTTAATTTTAAACGATTTTTTCTCCCATTCTTTGTTTTTTTTCACTTATTCTTAGGTTGCAAGATTTATACATTCAAGAGTTCAAATTAAATGTATTATATCTTTTGTCTGTTATAAGTATCTTAGATATTAATTGAATGCGATTTTTCTATATCTTTTCTAAATATATACGATTTTTGCAAATAAGCAAATATAATAATTTTTTATATCGCGAATGAATAATGTTTGTCGCGATTAATTTGCTATATTATACTAAAAAATTTTACGTCATGTAAAGTTTCTTCGAAATAATTTTTATCTTGCTTTTTTTCTTGATTTTTTGGTACTTTTAAAAATAATTTGTATACTCATTTTTTTTTACGGTATGTATATTGATCCTTGAAGTTTTTAATGTTTTCTTTTAATTGCATTTAATTGTTTTTGAAAATTTTTTTCGCTATCATACCTTTTAATTTTTGCAGGGTTAAATTCAGTTTATTAAAGATCATCGCATTTTTTCGCTGTATCGAACAAAATTTATATTCGTCCTGCGGCGTAAAAAAGGATTCGAGGAGGAAAAATGTGTCGTTTTTATGAGAAAAAATATGATTCGCGATCAGAACTTAGTTTTGCTAATAAAAAGTGAAATTCATTGCGATTTTTTTTTTTTTTTTTTTTTTTTTTTTTGCATTTTGTCACCATATCACGATCTAGAAAAAATAGATAAAAACGAAACATTGAAGTGAATTGTGAAACTTACTTCAAGTGAATATCAGAGTTTTTTTTATTTATTTGCTTTCAGAATAGGTATAATTACTTTTTAGAAAAGTTTCGAATGTCTGTAACGAATTTTTCCATCATTTTTGAACTTGTTAAAATTTTTTTCATCTAAAAATGGTATCATAAAATAAACAATCTGTTAGATTTACGGATAAAATGCAAATGTGTGTTTGAATTTAAAAATTTGATTGTACAACGAATATTTCCATATATTGAAATTTTTCGCGTTAAAAAAATAAATGTATAAAACAAGCAGTCTTTTGTTGATCATTAACAATTTAAATACCATTCGAGTTTGAATAAAAAAAATATGATTCATGTTAAAGTCTCTTTAATTTGCATTTTGGAATTTTTTTTTTTTGAATTTTTAATGATTTCAAATGGTTTCATAATATTTTTATAATATTGTATTCATCGCATATATGTTGAAGTGTAATTATCGTATAGGAAATATATAAAGATTAGAATATAAAATTCAAATAAAAATCTCTAACAAGAAAGAAAGAGACGCGATGAATTGAATGCAAATAAATTACTTTTTATTTTTTTTTCTAATTAACATTATTATATTTTTGTTACAAAAATTTATTACTGAAGTTATTGTACAATTATTCCGAATATTATTTTAGGATCAAATTTCCAATTAAAAACTAAACATTACCTCCTCGAATAAAAATTTTTTTGTTTATTACTCTTTCAAATATTTTTTCTCAAATTCGTTTCTTTCAATCCTTTATTCGGGCAAATAAAAAAAATAAAATCAATTGAAATGAATTAATATTATATAATTTAAATAATTATTTTTAAATTTTTATTCAAAATTTTCGTTGTTAAGACATATATTTTTAATATAATTCTATAATAAATTTCCATCGAGATTCTGCATTCTGTCTTTCTGACACGAATTTCTGAAAATTTCATACATTTCGACGAATAAAATATACAAAGATCTCGAAATACTTTTGAAATGTAAGAGAAAAACGATTTAATGGTCATAAGAGAAGTTTACAAATTTCTTGGAGAAATTCGAAATAGCAATTATTCGAATGTTTGGTGTTTAATTTTTTCATTTTAGAATTCAGAAAATTGTTTAGGAAGAAAGTAAGAGAAAATAGAATGATGCAGAGTGATAAAATTTTCTAAAGTTTTGATTCGTTATCATAATCTGTAATAAATGTTCGTTTCGTTGAAATTTACATACATACGTATTACGTATATATTTGCAAATAAAGAGAAATGCAATCGGAATTTCTCTGTTGTTGAGATCAATGTTTGATGGATTTTAAAAGTATAAAAAACGATAAATATGTAGAAATTCGAAGGAGACAATTACATTATTCAATTGCATAGGTATTTTTGTATATAGGAGGGATAGAACATATTAATACTCTAGATAGAAGATATATAGTTACAAAATTGATGCAAATATAAATTAAAAATTTTTCCAAAAGCTAATGACTTTGAAAAATTAATGAGGGTGAAAAAAAGGAAAGGAAGAAGAACGAGGGAAATTTTTCTTATAAAAATTATAACAAATGAATGCTAGTTAATAATTTAAAAAAATTAGTTTATTCCTTCGCGAGATGTATTTCAATATTCAATAATAATAATTCAATAATTCTCCAGTCCTTCGTTCAGCTATTTTATTCATTCTTTAATTATATTCGACGTATTTAAACAATAATTATTTATAAGTATCGTTTTATTATTCACTTTAATACACTTATAATCTACTTGAAAAATAAATACATAAATTTGAATTTTAAACTGGCAACAATCGCCAATCAATCCTTAGCCTTTCTCCTCAATTGCATCATCATTTTCCCTCCATTCTGTTAGCTCACAATCATGCCACTCGATTCATTGTTGATTACATATTCATCCTTCTTCTTTCTTCCTTATCGTTCTCGTGATCATCGCGTGGAAAATCGTGTTCTTTCCGCGATTATATATAGTTTTATTCACGTAGTGTTGCTACATCGGCCAATCTGTAAATAAGAGACAATCAGTGAAAATTCTATCGTAATGCGAGACATTTCAATCGCATAAAAACAAATTCGATTTTATTGTTCATGCATCTTGTCGAGCCGTATTCGAACGTAACGAATAAATAAACGAAAGGCGATAAGGGAACGAAGGGGAGAATATCGTCTCTGTTGGATTTGTAATTTTTTTACCGTGTGAAAAATAATTAAACGCGTCACGAGAATCTTAATGAACCGCACTCCATTCCGCAGTTGTCAACCGCCCCTAAACGGGAAATAAATGGAAAACTGGGACGAACCTCGTGCGCTTTTGGGAAAACTTTTGTCACGATAAAATATTTTTTGGATGAATTTTTTCTCTTCGTTCTTTCTTTTTTCTTTTTATACCAGCATTAATTCGAAGGATTATTTATTAGTGACAGTCATATCGATAGGGTCTTGATGATGTGATAAAGTATTGATATTCGTGGAACATTTGGTGGAGGATTTCGATTTTAGAAACCAATACAAATATAAAAATGTCGAGATTTATTTATTGAGATTTATTTAAGGAGATAGAACGAGATGGAGATATTAGATTAGTCAATTTCATTTTTACTTGAAAATTTTTCGATTCGCTCTTTCACGAGAAATTCCTTGATCACATTATTCCTTGTCCACGAATAATGCAACATCCTATATAATATCAATATATACTTATAGATACTTATATAAATAAATGTTATAATTAGCAAAGTTATTTTAAAAAGGAAATGAATCTTAATATCCCTCTACTTTGTTCTTTTATTTCCTTCGATACTTTTCCCCATTTAAAGAAATATCTTTAAAAGAAAATTCTCCAAATATAGTAAGATTGCTAGGATTGTATTATCGGTTGCTAAAAATAACTATCAACTAACTATTTTTCCACAACATCAAACGCGATATATACGGCGTTCCGCAGAAGGGGTGGTTTTGCATGCGCTTAATCAGTGCGAGGAATCAGCCATCCTCCCCTTCGCCAAGGTCGCATATTTCAGCCCCATCGGCTCTCCACTGACGTAAATGAGCTCCTTACTTAAGCATTCCGAGTTTTCGATGCCTGATATCGATCTCACCAGCCCGCCTCTTCGAGCTTCGATATCCCTCGCGTCGTTTAATCGGATCTTGACTTTCAATGTGGAGAAAATTGCGTTAAAATGGCGTTCATCCTTCATTTTCACGAATAGAATTGTAGGATGTAGGATGTAGGAAAAGGATGTTGAACGAAAATGATTTTTAACGCACGTGGAAAGTTCGCTACGTTAATTTTCAAATTTAATTAAAATTTTATTTATGAGACATTTTAATTATCAAAATTTTTAAATTTTTTAAATTTAAAAAAAAATCAATTTATTTCCTTCGTAGTTCTTTGTTCTTAATTTGATAATTATGTTAAACGTATAAGAGATTTCACCCCCAAAAAATATATCTTTTTATTTCTCATATATTAATGTTTCATGATTCTATACATAGTGTTTCGTTACAAATTTTCATCAAACGAAATTATTCAATTTTCTCAAAAAAATTATTCGATGAAATAAAATTTAAATAATTACAGTAGATAAAATTCTGTGCAAAATCAAGGGGGATAGTCATAAAAAAGAATTTCGTCTAAAAAAAAATTTAATTTCGACATACCTTTAATAGTGAAATTATCTCTTTCACAGTTTCGCCATTATAAATTTTGAGCAACCCTATTATTTAGGAGAGATTCCAAGCATTTTTCTCTGAAATAAAAATTAATCTTAAAAAAAGAGTTGTTGTCGGAGAACAAAGAGAATTATATCCATCCTTCGCTAACGAACGACCCAGCATGATGGTTTCTCATCATACTATTTAGAACATAATCATATTTATCACGTAATAGGATATACCTTCACGAAAATTTCACGTATCGAAGACACGTGACTCTATATATATATAACTATATTGTTAACAAATAGTTATGAGAGACAGCGAAGATCGTCTCTCTCGTTGTTTTTAGACCCGCTTTGTCTATGCTCTTATAGTTTGACGATATTTTCTCATTTATTCTCTTTTCCTCGTCATTATCATCTAATTTATTTCACGCTTGGATCACGCGATAAAACTGTGATTAATAACATTTGTATCTTTTATATTTGGTTTCTTCGTTTTTAAATTTTATCTTCGTTAAAAATATCTTTGATTTTTTGATAATTATTCGAGGAATATTATATAAAATATTATATAGGATATATTATATAAATCGGTGTTTCAGAACGATGAAATCAATTATATCATAAATAAACACGAGTAATTTATGCAAAAGACGTTCAATTCTACGTATTATTTAGAGTATTATTTATCGTAAAAATTTTCTGAATAATAAAATAGATACGATTGGATAGATATAGATTAATTCGTTTGATAAAAAAGAGGTTCTACCTTTTAAAAGCTTTTTATTACGATTTGATCTAATCAAATTATTTTCTTCTTTTATTAGAATCGGGTCTATGTTGATAAATTTCAACTCGAAAATTAATCTTTTAATACCAGCTATTGCTTCCTTTGAACGTCAATGAACTTTATTCCGAGCATCCACCGGTTAACTTCAAACAGTTTGAGATAAGACAAGTCTTGCAGAATTCGTGCTCAAGGGCTGTCTTCGGGCTTCGTTAATCGTATTCAAATTTCTTTGCCTCCGTCTGAATTTGCTTTGCATAGATATATCACGGTATATTAGATTTAAAAATTTTAATCACGCGATTAAAATATTATTATTCGTGAAAAGTCTACTCTAGAATCCAATAGTTGATATATAAAAATATTTAATTTAACGCAAATTGAAATTTCTATTTAGAATTTTTCGCATAGGATATTTCAGGTTTTTAATCTACAACTCTGATATTATGCGGATATATTAAAGCATTTTAAAAGATATACTTCATTTTTCTTTTTATTCGTTTCGTACTCGTTTTAATTTTTAATAAGGTAAATCTTTTTCGAGATCCTCCACTCAGGGATAGATAAATTCGAAAAGGGATAAATTCTTAAAGTATTTAATTATAAAATAATAATATTAATATATTATAATATATATTTATAAAAATTATTAATAATTAATAATATTCTTAATTAATGAAAGTAGCAATATTTGATTTTACAGTGGCCAGCAAATTTAATAATTTCTTTCGATGATTAAATTTGAAAATCACGTTGTACAAAGTGTTCGAGTTAAAGGAAAAAATGCATTTAATTATAATCCATTAAAATTCTCGTACATTATCTTTCATCTGGCTTGTTAACAATTATTCTGCCTTAACTGTATTCCATAATTACATATCAACCGTGATATAAATGGCATGCTTATTTTCCGTTAAGCGTCTTAATGTAATATCTCGGCGATATTAATTTCGCAGTAATACAGTTTGAGACTTACGTAATTAAACGTATGAAATTTCATAGAATACGTTCTCGCATGTATCGGATTTATTTTATTCTGTAAAGAAAAAAAAGTTTTCAAAACTTACGATTTCTTCTTCTTTTTCTCTCTCTTTCTTTCTTTTTTATTATTTACAACGTTCAATTTCGATAATTATATTAAGTGGATTCCTTATTAATTTTTTTCATCTCGAAGAATTCATCGAGAAATTTTCCAAAAATCACGGATCCTTTATTCGTTAATTTGTCAAACAACTCGTATTCCAAAAAAAAAAGTGCGTCTTTTTATCAACCAGAGATTCACTCTTTGCCATCACAAGTTCCACGACAAAACGACCAACACGAGAAGAAACACGTTTTCATCCCCTCGTTTATAGTAACGTAAAAAGTACTTTCGGTCCCGAAAAGAGAAGAGAAAAAAAGAAGAAAAGCGGAAAGAAGAAAATTGAGGCAAAAGATAAAAAAAAAGAACGCAGCTCGCAATTAAGTGTCCTCGGTGCGGGCTGCAATCAAAGAAGCTTGCTTCGCGGAATTGTAACTGCACTGCATGCCAGCTGCTGCATTAGCTACATGCAGCTTGGAGTGGCTTCGTAGTGGGGTTGCTGCAATGCGCAACGGTTACGCCAGGATCATGCCGTTTCACCCCTGTGTTTAGGAATTTCATTAAACGTTTTGTACGAGGAATTAATCTCTCGAGAGTAAAGTACGGTTGGATAAACGAGGGAAGGATGGTAATTAAGATAGGCAGCATGTACGAAACGATATGATAAACGTGACGATCTCGAGGAGGTAGTAGTAGTAGTAGTAGTAGTTTCGAAGCGGAGAGTCGAAAATTCTGAGAGATTCTTTATTACTGCGAATCAAATAAATATTCGAGTTAAAAATGGTTTACGATTTGAGACGAGAGTGTGGTAAAAGTATTTTTATGGGTATTCGTTACTTGTTGTACTCAATAAATGTATCATTAGACTGACGTTTCATAGAGAATACGAAATTTAATTGTTATTAACAAGTTGGACGAATATTAAGTTGATCGAAGAATGATATTTTGAATGTAATTTGAGATTCTATTTGAGAATTTTCGTCAAATGATATTATAATGTATTAAGATATTTAATACTAATCCGTGAAGGTATTTGAATACTATTTTACAGAAAAAATGAAGCTTAACCTAAAAATTTTGATTCGAATGGAAGAACATTGGTTTGATATAAATAAAAATATTAAATAAAATTTCGACGTTTAATTTTATAATTTCGTACAACGGTTTCAGCGACGAATGAATTGAAACGTATAATAGCGACGAAGATAATCGACCATTTCCGTGGTACATTTTTAACTTGCATTACTTACGAAAGATTGTTATGAAATTATCCGTGAAGAGACGTTGAAGATAATATTCTACAAATAATCGTAAGAAGATTATTTTCTACGTCTGAATATAAGGTAATATAATATTTTAATAATTTTCAAACCATCGTCGGATGACACCAATTTGATATTAAATAACGAATGGTGAAAAAGTATTATTCTGCTTTAATAAATTTGAAATAATTATATTTAATAAAAAAAAAAAAAGG